TTTCGAAATTGAAAATAAACCCCCCCCCCCCCCCCTTAGTAACTGGTGCCTTATAAACACTGAGAGATTGGACTGTGGTGGACAAGAAAGAACATTCCCAGCCCATAAGTTGGTGTGTCTCAAGGTGCCAATCAGTGTTCTCTCTATTTTTTTCCATCCAGATGCAGAATAAATGTTGTTACATGCACTGAGGCACATGCCGATATGCAAACAGGCAGAAATGCTTACGTATCAGTGAGCCACTGGTGCCTTATAAACACTGAGAGATTGGACTGTGGTGGACAAGAAAGAACATTCCCAGCCCATAAGTTGGTGTGTCTCAAGGTGCCAATCAGTGTTCTCTCTATTTTTTTCCATCCAGATGCAGAATAAATGTTGTTACATGCACTGAGGCACATGCCGATATGCAAACAGGCAGAAATGCTTACGTATCAGTGAGCCCATATGCCAAATCCAGCATGTCCATCTCCTCGTCTGTGATGGCATCCAGCTTTTGGAAGACGTTCTCCTCAAAGATGAGGTGACACGTAGAGCAAGCCAATGTCCCTTCACAGGCACCTGCAGGGCATGGGAGGGGTCAGCTCAGGGCATCAGAGAGCAGCAAGGAGATGGGGGGAGATAGTCTCAATGACCTGGGAGAAGAAGAGGTGCTGCCTATACCTAAAATACATCAGGAGAATTCGGTGGGAATCAAGGAGCCACCCTTGCTACGAACACATTTTCTGACAGCCACATAGCTCTGATCCAAAAGGATCCCAAAGCCCAGTGAATACATAGTTGAAATATGGATATTTGATACATCTAGATAACTAACTAACAACATGAATATGGCCCATTGGGTACCAGCAATAACAGGAGTTACACAGGCATTGCCATTCCGGCCCTTTAAATGAGCTAGAAGTGTGAACCCCTATTCCCCAACATACACATACTCACTAAGGACTGCACGAGAGAGAGAGAGAGGTGGCTAACACACACACAGGTCTGTAAATGCCCCACAGGCCCTCAGTTCAACAATCCAAGTTTGACCCACTTGCAGAACCAATTAGAAGCAGACCAGCGAGTGAAGTCGCCAAACTACTGCAGTCTCGCAATTGATTATTTTACATTTCTGTTTGACCCTGGGGGCTTTCCTGTTACACTTACCAAAGCCATCAATGCTCAGGTTTTGATTAACCACCACTTCCAGCAAACTCTCCCCTTCTTTGGCTGTGGTTGTGAGTGTCTCTCCGTCCCGGTTTATAAAATGCACCGTCACTCTGTCCGCAGAGCTGAAAAACAAGTTACAGGAGGTCAGTCCAGGCTGGACCACTGCAACCTGTGAACCAACCGCCAGTTGAGCAGGAGAATGAAGTACTGATCCCATGAAGAATTTACATGAGGACCCAGCTTCTTGAAGAGCTACAATGCAGCATCATGAAAGTACAGGCAGTCCCCGACTTACGCGGATCTGACTTACGTCGGATCTGCACTTACGAACGGGGCTCTCTCACCCCGGAGCTCGCAGGCAGCGGTCTGCCACCTCGACCTCTGGGGCGAGAAAAGCTGCTCCCGGTGCCCCTGGTCTGCTGGGGACCGTCTCCAGCAGACCAGGGACACCGGGAGCAAAGCCGCAGCCGCGACGGGGTCCTGCGCCTCTGAGGCTGTGCCAGAGCAAAGCCTCAGAAGCGCGGCACCCCGCTGCCGCTTCAGCTTTGCTCCCGGTGCCTCTGGGCTGCTGGGGACCGTCTCCAGCAGACCAGGAAAACCGGGAGC